GTATTTATACAGTAAGTAAATTATGTGATTATTTGTTAACTCGACGGTGATGTGTCAATAAAAACGATATCTCATAAAAATAAATGCCTCATACAAAAATTTTTGAATATGTCTTGATAAATTAAGTTTACTAAAATGTAAAATACAGGCGAATAGTTTCGCAGGATTATTTTTACTTAAAAATTTTTAGATGTTATATGTGTAGGTACTTACATATAAAAAAAATCTATTTCAATCCATTAAAATTTTTACAACAAACACTAATATTAAGAAATCTGCTTCTGATTTATATTAATTTATTTATAATACGCAAACATATATTAGGCCGCATACAATACGCCTTCTATAAAAAACGTCAAAAATACTATTATACTTTAGCGAAACTAAAACAAGCAAAACTCAATTGTCGCGAGATCCGAAATCTAACTAAAACACTAACAACATAAATATAACTAATAGAATATTTTGCAAGATCAAACGCCGAACTAAAAACTGGGATTATCCGTGGGTGCTCTACTTAGCCCGAGGTTATTCCTTTCATTCGTTGTTGTCTTAAATAAATCAGGTACGGTTGCCCGTCGTTTAATGTGCGCTGTAATCGCTCTTATATTTATAGAATAGCGTTGATATTCCTATGGCATAGATAGAGCGAAATATAAATACTACTGGCACTTGGCCGATTAAAAATCGATTGAATGTCAGCTTGTAGCAGAATGTGACAAGGAAGACTTTTTAGTATTGAAGGCGTTTAAATTGCTGACAGAATGATTCACATAATTAATGGCAAATATATATTTTTTTAAATAGCTTACAACATCTTCGTCAACAAAGCATAATGATTTCTATACTGCACTCTGAGCATGATTTTTCTATCGTATCGAATTCGTATCGCAATCGAGATACTGTTGCCCAAATACTCAAACGCTGCTCAATTTTAAGATGTCTCGCGCTGTCTCTATCACTTTAAGACTACTGGGCTCGCGCGGGTGACATATGTCACCCAGTGTGTAATATTCTTAAATAGCTTTTGAACGTATTACGCTTTAGTGCTGCCCTCTCAGGTATTCCTCGAGGAAGGATCGCCCCACACATCAGTAGCGCGCCATCGTGCTAGGTGCATTGACGCGTGCACAGTGCATTTTTAAAGTTCGTGGGTGACTATGACCCCCCGCGCGAACGTCTGAGGATGTTTTAGAAATCTAGCATAAGTGATTGAAAATTAAGTATACCCTCATGTAAGATATTAATTATTTTTGTATTTTACATGTTTTATGATCAAATTATTCTATTTGACCAATTGGCTATATATTTACGTAGTGAAATGTTTTGTTATGCAAGCCAAGTAATGCAACATACCTTTTGTTTTAGGTTATAATGGCATCGACGTCGAAGGATTTGTCTATAAGTAGGTGTTTGGAAGAAGAATTCACCGAAAGTAGTGGGTCAGAGGAAGAAGAAGAAGTCAGTGGTCCACAGCAGCAAACTGCTGCAATTGGTTCTCCTCAGGTTTCTGACACGGAACAAGAAAGTGATAATCAATCTGACGAAGACGAAGATAATATTATGCCTTTGTCACAGTTGGCTTTTTATGTATCACCGAATGGAACAAAATGTAGTAAATTACCACCACCTACATCTAGAACCAGGGCACATAACATTATGTCGAGACCTCCAGGTCCAAAAGGTATTGCCAGAGATGCCACGACTACTATCCAATCTTTTTTGCTATTTTTTAACTGATATTTTGAGAATTCTTGTGGAATGCACAAATATTTATATTGATACAATCAAACATAAGTATCAAAGGGAGAGAGATGCTGCACCTGCATATTTGGAAATGAAAGCTTTTGTCGGCTTGTTGTTTGTTAGGAGTTAGTAGAGCTGAACGGAGAAACCTCAAAGACTTCTGGGACAATACAAAAGGTCTTGATATTGAGGCAGTATACATCACAATGTCGAAAAGTAGATTTCGATACCTGTTACGATGTTTGCGCTTTGACGTCGTAAAGAATAGAGCAGCCCGTCAAGCAACCGACCGTTTAGCACCGATTCGTCAAATTATTGAAATTATGCTTTGCAACTGCAAAGTACTATATATACATATACTGTATATACTATAAACCAAGCGAGTCCGTTAGACTTGATGAGCAGCTTGTAGCATTCAAAGGTCCTTGTGGTTTTATAATTTATATGCCGAACAAACCGGCTAAATTCGGTATAAAATAATTATGGTAGACGTCAAGTATCCGTTTGTGTGCAATTTCGAAGTGTACACAGGTCTACAGCCAGAAAGCAGCGTATCGCGTATCAAATCAAGTTCGGGACATTATCTACGAGTTTTGAATCCTCTATATGGCTTGGGCTGTAACGTGACAATGGACAATTGGTTCACCAGTGTACCTGTAAGCAAAGATTTACGGCAAAAAAAGATTACAGTAGTTGGAACGCTAAAAAAGAATAAATCTGAAATACCTCAGAAATTCAAATCTACACAGAATAGAGAAATACTAGACTCCACCTTTGGTTTCCAACCTGATTGTACACTCGTTATTTATATACCAAAGAAAAATCAAGTAGTTTTACTTCTCTCTACCCTGCACAATGATGATAAAATTGACCCCGAAAGCGGAGAAGGGAAAAAGCCCGAAATAATCACCTATTACAATCACACAAAGTACGGCGTCGATGTTTTCGATAAAATGTGTCGTCTATATGATGTGACGCGCAATTGCAGACGTTGGCCTCTTATAAAATTTTATAATTTTTTGAATATGGCAGCTATAAACGGCCTAGTCTTATACTAATTGAATAATCCACAAATCGAGACAATCCGCCGAAAATATTTGCAAGAGATTGGATTTGAACTTGTCAACAAAATATACCTAGAGCTATAAAAATGAAAGCAGACCTTCTTCTGGGGCTTCCTAAAAACCCGCAAGTACAAAACTTGCCCATACGCGGTGGAAAAGGAAGATATGACTTATGTAGTAGAGCGAGAGATCGAAGCACTCGCAAACAGTGTAGCAAGTGTAATAGGCCTAATTGCCCGGATCACAAGATCGTATTATGCCCTAACTGTGCCGAAAACGCTATGAAATAGGAACAAACCGTTCGTAAACTTTCTATTGTGATGATTAATCTACCAAAATAATGTGGTCAAAAAAAACTGATTGATCTCAATAAGCCTAAAATATGTTAATTTTTATAGTTTATCTTTAGCTTATAATTTAAATACCAATAGCAAATGTTGGCTTTAGTAAAAGTATTTAATTACAAATAAAGTTGATTCATAATAATATAACTTGTTTATTTTCTCCAAGTAAGAGAAATAAGCTAAAAACCTATATAATAATGGGTGGCACATGTACCTCGCGCGAGCACTCTAGACATTTTTTGATGCGCGAGCCCTCTAGTGTTAAGTCAAAATGACTGTGACACCACGAGACTTAACGACATCTAAAATTGAGTAGCGTTTGAGTATTTGACCATTAATTACAGAAAATAATACCATTTACGTCCGCCATTCACTTTACCATACATATTTAGTCGATGACGATACGAAAACGTTAGTGTCAAAATTTGTGCTAAGAGCACTCTTAACATAGCTAGTGGAAGTTATAGCGCGTACACAATAGCGAAAAATACTTGTTCGAATAGTTATCATTATCGACGTAGCTTGTTACAGAGTAGATGTAAAAAATATCACGCTATATTACATTGACACGACTACGATTTAAGGATCGGACCACACAAAATGCGTGCGCAGCACGTTTGCGTGAACAACACGGATATTTTTAAATGTTATATTCAATAAAGATTTCGGCCCTGCCAAATCGTTTTACCGGCTTTAAGGTAATATCATCGATAGTGACTTTTGTCTTCAGTTTTCCTTCAGAGTATTAACAGACTTTATTCCTCTTTAATGTGGTATTTATTTAGCAAATATGTGAGTATATTCTTATTTGTATTATTGGCCAAACAGAAATCGATTCTCAATCGTACACATGGTGCTTCTAAAATAAATGAAATCAGGTATTAAATGATAATAATCTATTATTGTAAGCTGCAATGCGCCGATATTATACTATACGGAGGTGGATATATTATTTTCAATTTAAAATATACAAATCATTATTACAATCACATCGTGAAAATAATTGTTCTTCACACCTTAATTTTTCTTACCAAATTTCTATAAATAACAAATATTTTTTAATAAATAGGAACTCCAAAATGCTCTCATTTTTATCACCGCTGTTACTTTAGCGTACCACGATGTGATTGTGATAATAAACACGTGATATGTCATAATATTCATATATTGCGGTTTGAATTAACAGAATACGAAACATATCGACTAGTTGCAAGTAAGAACAATGAGATAATAAACCAGTAGGCGTCCAGCTGCCTCAACTATAGCCTTGTGATGGTCGGGCAAATCTATCCCTTAAAATGTAACACTGTTTTAACCCTTAATAAACGGCTAAATCGACGTATCGACACATCGCTAAACTTACATCTGATTCGTCTAATACTAAAATACCTAGGTACCTAAATGGCTCACATCTATTTAAAGTTAAAAAGTGAGCATAAAACAAAAAACAAATATAATTTACTTATGCATTATGCGTACAAAAACTCCGAGCCGACAACCCCCAGTAATAAATAAATATATAAAGATACATATTTATAAAAAAACTTTATATGCCGTTATACATACGTACCACATATTTAATATATCCTACCTAAAATCACCTATATACAATATGTACAGAGGGAAATAAAAAAAAACAATTTGTACTTGCAGAAAAACCGTGAAAATTAAACAAAATTAAAAGTAGAAGTGAAAAACGGAAATATACACAGATTGCTTCTTTACACGAAGTTCATACAAAAGTTATATATTAATAATATATAATATATAACAAGCGACGGGCCGGCGCCGACGTGAGATTTACAAAAATATGTCTTATTTATATGTACATACGGCCGCCCACAGACTACCTGTCGCACCGCTTTGGAACAACTGCGCCATCTGTGGACAAAATAGACAGTTATTATTCATTTCATTAATTGAACTTCGTAATTACACAATAAATATATCAATTGAACTTGCAACGAAAATTCGGTTATTATTCAGTATTCGGCTACGCACGCAGCACGAATGGGTCGTCTCGACCGGGGAAGGACCACGCTCTCACAGAATACTAGCGTAAAATAGTAGCTTAACACTGCTGTGTTTCGTATGGTGAGTGTAGAGAACCGGAGACCCTTTTTACTGGAAATGAGGCATTCAATCTTAGTCCTCACGGGTGACAACGCTTCTGCATTTTGATTCGCAAACGAGGATAGATGTAGATGTCTATGGGCCACAGCAACCACTTACCATCAGGTGGACTGTGTGCTCGTTTGTCACCCTATACTATAAAAATAGTATATTTCATTACGAGTGCGGAAAGCCTGTCATTGCAAATAGTTCCGACAAATGTCTATCCGAGCCGAGGCGCAACCGAAGGTGAGGGTTGACAGTCGGAACAAGTTGCAATGACAGTTCCGCACGTGTACTGAACAACTATTTTTAATACAGTTGCGAAAAAATGAAGCATAAATTGCTTCATTTAAATATAATTAATAAAGAACATTTTTGGAAAATGGCGCCAACCGTAAAAGAATATAAGTAGAGATTTTTTTGTTTTCTTCACCCATTCTGAGTAGGCAAAGGGGACTATGCCCACACAGCCAAGTCTTCAGTAGAATTTTTTTATTGATATGAAATGAAAATGAAATTTAATGAGATGAAATGAAACCTAACCTAACTCATTGAATATAATAATTAAATGTGATATTGAAACAAATTAGTAGCTTCTTTTTAGAAATATTTGCATGAATCATAAAAAGTACTATGATTTCTTTTTAGTAAAAACTTCGTGGTTGGTTTTTTCTTTTTAATAGACATTATTCTGACAGTTGGGAAAGAGACCGCACGAGTTCGGAAAAGGTAAAGAAAAAGCATCCCGAACGCTATGCGTTCCTGCAATACGCCACTTTTTGAGCAACTGTATTAAAAAAAAAAACTATTCGTTGCAAGTCTAATATCAATATAATATGTATTTGTTTGCATCGCATGTAGTGGTTAGACTGTATATGGTGGATACTATAGCCAATTTTGTCCTTTTTTCCAGAACGTAACGATCAAACGAAAGGGGGTTGTAGACCTTGGAAGGACTGTTAAAAAAAAATTAAATCCTATACGAAAGTTGCGTAGTTTAAAAGATAAAGGGTTGATTTATAAATTTTCCAGAATAAATCACCCTTTGCGTCAATATTTTTGATTCTGCAGCTGTAAATGAGGACCGATTTTAATTTTTTTTCTGTTTTGTACAGCCTAATAATATGCCTACTAAACTACTATTTTATTTTACAGTACCTATTTATTACAATTTGGTAGAAATAAATGTATAAAAATTCGTAAGTGTAAAAATGTAATAAAGTTTTATCGAGCTAGTTGGACCCTTCACCCTGTAAAAATATGTACACACATGGACCTGGTAACTATATTCAAAAGTTGGCGCTATTCATTTATATTTCAAAATGTTATAATACTTGGTACTTTTATTTAAATTTTTTGTGTTGTAATTTTTTTTTCTCGCTGAGGGTAGATTTTGTGCAAATTACTCAATTAGATATTTTTTCTCCGCTCAATTAGATGTTTTTTTTGTCCGTTCGATTAATGTAAAGAAAAATATTTCGTTTTCACACTGATTTGGCTGATTTCAGACCTAATATCCCTAGAAAAGTAAAAAGTAGTTCTTTTTTTATCCAATTTTGGTATTAAACAAAATACATTCAAAATTACGATACAATACGATTCTATGCGTTTTATCATCTTTTAGTTTTAGGTTTTCAGCTTTAGTTGCTATGACGCATAGAATTAACTCTTGCACTTGCACTGCAGGCCAAAAGTTTAAGAATACCTTAATTAAAGTAGGAAAATAAAATAAAACTCCAATAAAATATTAAATGTTTAATTAAACTGTTAAATCATCCAATAAAACACTTATTGACAATACTCGAAAAGCGTAAAGAAATATTAACAGTCCATGTTAAAAAAGGCTATACTGAGCTAAACAGATTTTTCATTAAAAATCCTCCTTTGCATTCTATGAGTTTTTTCACAAATCTCGGCATACGAGCAATCAATTTGTTGATAGTGTCTTGTGATATATTGCTCCAACTTTCTCACAAAGCATTCCACATTTCTTCTCGCGAGGATGGACCACAATTACGGACTTTCCTATCAAGCTCTTGCCACAAAAGTTCAATGGGATTGAGATCCGGGCTCAGAGGAGGCCAAACCATGTTTTTTTAACACCCCTTGTGCCTCTTTCTCTTCCAAATATCCTCTGCATAATTTTGAGCTATGCTTAGGATCATTGTCCTGTTGGAAAATGAATCCATCACTAATTAATCGCAACCCCGAAGGAACAGCATTTTGTTCTAAAATTTTTTGTACTCTTTCTTTTTCATAATTCTGTCAACTTTAATCATATCGCCAGTTCCTTGGCTAGAAAAGAAACCCCAGACCATAATTGAGCCACAACCATGCTTGATTGTTGGGACTACACAGCCTGGCATCATCTTTTCTTGGTCACTACGTCGAACATAAATTCTTCGTTTTAAGCCGAATACCTCAAACTTGGATTCATCGGTCCAAAGAACTTTTTTAAAATCTTCTTCAGTCCAATCTCGATGAACAACAATCAGTTTTTTCTTGTTTTGTGGCCTTAGCAGAGGTTTCGAACGTCGACACGACCATACAATTTCGCATTTCTCAGTCGCCGTTTTACTGTAGGTTTAATTTATTCTATGAAATGATCTTCACTTGACGTGGTAGCTCTCGGCCTTCCCGAGCGTGGACGATCTTGAAAAGTGCCTGTCTCCCTGTATAGAGTTATTGTGCCATGAACACAAGTCTTCGATAACTTCAATTGTAAAGCAATCTCACGTTCGGATTTGCCTTCATTATGTAAAACAACAATGGCAGAACGGACTTCACTGCTAATTTCGCGTGCTTTTCCCATTTTAAGACGTCATCACTTAAAAACCACAAGTTTAGACTAATTGAGATTATTTGTGAACAAAACCATGTAAACTCAGGTAATAATAAGTCGGAAACACGTGTTTTAGAAGCTAACTAATCCTAATTATTGACCAATGGGAAACAAAAGCAGAGCAACTAGTTATTAGCCCATCATAAAATATTATTACGACTCTACCACGGTGTTTGAAAACAATACATGTTTATTGTCCAATAACTTGAAAGTAAATAAAAGAATGACTTCTTTAGATATTCGATATTAACAATAGAATATGCAGGTGTACACATTTCTTTTATTTATCTTATAGGATTTCGTTACAATTTATAGATGATTATGTTGTTTAAGTGTGGTCTTAAGCTTTTGGCCGGCAGTGTACATGTAAGTGCAAGCGAGACAGAAGATAGGGAAGTAACAAGAACTATGCACAGCTTAGGTAAAGCTTTTTGCTTTCAACAAAGAAATGAATCAAATAAATAAATAGTCAGTACTTTGCCCTACTTTGTTCACGTCGCACGTTTCTCCTGTCTTCCTGTTCTGATCAGTGTTTTAGTACTATCTGACTCGGATTTTTATTGGACTTTGTGCCTCTTCCTTTGGTGACGACCTTGGCTTTCTACTGGACTTTGTAGATACTCTCTTGGCGACGACTTTGGCTTTCAACTGGACTTTATGGATACTCTTTTGATGAAGACTGGCTCTTTGTGATTGGATATTGTTAGGCTATACAAAACAGAAAGAAAATTAAAATCGAACCTCATTTTCAGCTGCAGCATCAAAAATTTTGACGCAAAGGGATTTTCTGGAAAATTCATACATAAATCACCCTTTATCTTTTAAACCACACAACTTGGGTATAGGACTCAATTTTTTTTTGAACAGTCCTTCCATGGTCTACAACCCCCTTTCGGTTGATCGTTACGTTCTGTATAAGCCAGAATCAAAGGTTCTAAAGGTGTCATTCATTGACCTTGAATGTCTCATTGACTGTATTTCAGTATATGTACTGCGTACAGATACATTGATTTATGGTCGTCCCATCTAGACCAAAAAAATGTCGTTTACAACTTGCACGCACTCCTGCAAGCTTGCGTACAAATTAGTGAATTTTTGTTTCTTATTTTGTCCTTTATCTGTGGTTGTAATGATTAACATTTTTACAAGAACTGGTGCGGGCGTGCTTGTTGTATTATGGTTTCATAATTGATTTTAAGTGGTCAGGATGAAAGAGAATGCAAATAGCGAATTACATTTGCACCAAATATTTGACAGATTATTAGACCTCCGTTAGTGAAACAGACATAGGAAAATTTAAATAGAAAATAAGTTTCGTTTTTGTATTTTAATATTCCACGTGAGAAAATGATATATCTCTATTGATACTTACGTACACGACAAGTACGTTCTGGATCTCAGTATCAACAGATCAAGTCGTAAACCAGTAAATAATAAGGCTAAAGGTCTTTTTCATAATTATATAAAAACATCAATTTACATAAATTTATTTAATCGTTGATTATCGCTTAGTTAAATTAAGTTTCTCTATACAAGTGTCTTTCTATTGTCATATAGTGAAAAAAAGAGAGAGCGAGAGCAAGAAAGCGCAACTATAAGCATTTCTTAAATTGATTTCGAATTATATATGAATAAGACCGTTTATCTTTTAAAATGTCCATTAATTTTAAATAGTTCGGTGGCCAACCGTACCAAATTGTGCTGGACAGTAAACATTCCGAACACTCAAAATGAATAAATAAAGATCATTAAATCGTGTGAGATTCATAAATTTGGAAAACCTACAAATATGATTTTTAAATATATTTTTAGCATTTTTATGAATAAGTTGTTTATAGAATAATATATTAAATAATGTATTTCGCTTAAGGTTACGGTTTTAAGAGATAGCGCAACCATGTGTAAAGGCACGTACACGAGATCGTGTAGTAGCGGCGTATCAATATCTACTCGTACTTCCCCATATCATCTCGTGCGTGTCGTAGGAGGCGCCAGAGGGTAATCCTAGGCGTTATCTATGGGGAAGCTCTATTGTTCAGCAGTGGACATTCGATGGACTGTAACGGTAATGTAAGGGCACAAACTCACCACAGTGGGGCGAGCGCGCATCGTCGTCGTCGGGGAGCGCGAGCCCGAATTCGCGCCGCAGTCTCGAACTTAGGTTCTCCCGTTGACGCTCCGACGCCGTCGGCTGCGCGTCGAACACACCTGACCAAACAGACGTGGTTCATGACGCTTGTTTGCAAGCTCGTTAATCGCACGATTGTGCTGTATGCAAGCATAAGTAGCAAAATATTGTTTTTGTACTATCACTTGTCAAATTGTATATTTTATTTATAGAATAAGGGTGACAAAAGAGCAGACAGTCCACCTGAATGTTAAGTGGATGTGCTGTGGCCTATAGACGTCTACATCAATTCTCGAATTAAAATTAAAATGCAGATGCGTTGTCACCCTTGAGGACTAAAATGGAATGTCTCGTTTCCAATAAAAAGGCTCTCCGGTTCTCTACACTTACTTATACGAAACACAGCAGTATTAAGCTACTTTTTTACGCTGGTATTTTGAGAGTGTAGTCTTTCCCCGTCGAACAGACTCATTCGTGCTACAGCCATAATCTAGCTGCTGAATGGCTATACCACATGAAAACATATTATCAAAAGAAAAGAAAAAATAGAACTCTTATGCTCATGACGTCCTCCCTTGTATTTTAACCGCGGCGACATCTTCCGAATATTGTCAGATGCTATCGTTAATGCTATCGTTAGCGTATAGAAGCGTGTGCACTAATGTAGACACCCACTCGTGTTTCGTCAACCTGTTCGTGTTTGATTTACACTTAGATAGATTAAAACAATGTAACCGAAAACAAGATATACTCGTAATGCAGTGTGACAGAGACACGAGTAAAATCAATATTGGTTGGCGTATCTAGGGTTATTTTACAAAGGGAAACTTGCCGATGAAGCCCCCAACCTTCTTTTTACTAAAGTAGTTAACAAGCGGTAAATTTAAAATTTTGTACAAACTATTTCAATATGAATATAATTTATTGTTGATTTTAAAAAAAACCCTCGACCGATTTCGATAAAATTTAAATGGGACCACCTGGGAAGAACCCTTTGAATTTTCTAAATCGGTTCAGGTGTCTTTGAGTAAGCGGTGAACATACATAAAAAAAAAGATTCCGACAAATTGAAAACCTACTCCTTTTTTGAAGTCGATTGAAAATAAATCTCAGGTGTAAATTAAAATCTGTTTCAACAAAGAAGTCATGTGGAAAATATGCGAAATAAAATGTTTAAAACAACAAGTAGTTAAAAATTAGTCTCGGTTTTAAACTAGTCTGTTCCAGATAAAGAAATCAGAAGAAGGCGGACTTTCCTGGTGCTCCATTACCCTCTCAACAATGAGAAAAGGCCTGTACCCAGCAATCACATGTGAATAAAATATTACTTAGTTTACTTTGTTATTGGTATGTAAAGGGTGACGACTCGATGAAACAAGCAGGTAGGTGATGGATGCAGGTGGCTCGGAAGCTCAGAACCGTAGTTTGTGGCAGTATGTCGTGAAGACCCTACGTTGAGCAGTGGCCCTGTGATGGGCTGTAGTGATAGTGTGTGTTTGTGAAGGGTAGGTTGTAAATAATAGTTGACGAACACACAGGGTTATTTTGCAATAACCGGCCAAATTGCAGAGAAGGTACGTAATAAGTTATATAGCCAAATGGTAAAGAAAAATTATTTAAAAAAAATCTCAAACATTCTATTCTTTTTATCTTATAAATTCAATATGCGTGGTAAATGCATTATTTTAACTGATTGTCTAATATTTTACTCCGCCGCACACATTCATAAATAAAATGAGATGGGCAGCAGCATTTTCCTGATAAGAACTCAAAATAAAAAAAAACTGCAGTTGTCAATCCGCTTGTCAAGTGTGGCAAATATGGCAAATATCCCCCCAAAGAGATCTATGGGGGAGGCCTATGTTCAGCAGTGGACTTTAATAGGCTGTAACGGTAACCACCACGATAGACACTGACCACAACCAGGCAATCACTCAAATCAGTATACAACGAAAATTTTTCAATAATCCATACTCAGACATTTTTCTATCCGCTCACGACTACATGTGTAAAACGCTAGGCACCGGATGCCATAGCAATGAGATAATCCGCAATACGTCCGTTAAAACGCGTCGTAGTAAAGATGCACAGATTAATCTGTGTATATATGGCATCGACAGTACACACGATGTACACTATAAGTCGTTTAACGAGAAAGAAGATATAGCGAGGACGCTTACAGAATATGACCTACTCGAACCTATCTTAGACCCATATAAATAACTTATCACTTCGACACGAATACATAGCACAATGTTGAAAGTTTTCACGTCTATTTTTTATATACGACTAAAGATCCGCCCCGGTTTCGCACGGGTGAATCCATGGACGCACTCAAACACACAAAATATTTCATCAAGATCGGTCGATCCATTGTCGACTGTCGAATTTATGCGAGACTAACGAACAGCAATTGATTTTTTATATATACGATAAATTTTATTGATAATTGTTAAACTCATTAGATACCTAAATTGGATGGCGCCATGTTTTTGTGAGACTCGTTACAAAAAGAAGAATGTACCAACTGTGTTACTTGCCTGGCATGTCGTAATCCTCGACTAATGGAATATTTTGTTTGTGATTGTGTAGTCGATGGGCTAGCCACCTATTAGTTCTTGCACAATTTTCCATCTTAACTCTCGTTGGGTTTTGCACTCTGCCCCGGGGATTACAGGCGTGGCGCTTTACCATAACAACACGAAATAGACATTTTACGTATTTATAATAATTTTGCCATGTGGTTATTTCAGGGGTGATCCCATATAAAATTGGTCAAAATCTGATAATGAGACCCTTAAGAAAATTATGCAAGTCTTCAATTTGCAAAGACATCTGCACGACGTACGGGAATACTTTGAAGTCAGATTCTACAATTCTATTGTAAGAAGAACTGAAAGGGTTTTAGGGCAAGGAGGTGGGGTTACGCTGGGATTGTTTAGGGCAACAGGCATTGGGGTAGCGCGGCGGCGGACTTTATTTAACATGTCTTCATCGGTGCCGGCGGGGATCAAGCGCGGATTGCTGATACTTGCTGATACTGTGAAATTTACAGCGAGCGCTAAGCCCTTGAGCTACCACGGCTACCCCAAAACCACGAACGTTAATCTATATCTATACATATAATAAAACTGTAAGTAGCAGATGTCTGTACATTTTATATTTTTGTAATAAAAGTGATTGAGGGGTACTAAAAATAAGTAATTAAATACATTTCTACCATTTTTAGAATTTTCTGTCTGTCTGTCTGTCTGTCTGTTTGTTTGTTAACGTATCACGTATAAAGTACTAATTTATATCATAAGAATTGTTAAGGAAATTATAAAGTGTATCTTCGGGTTACATTTAGTCTTTATTTCATTAAAATCAGTTCATTCCATCAAAAGTTATGATAAATATTCTGAAGTATGGGTAGGGAAGTATAGGTACGAATTTGCTCAACGGTGGCTTTGTTTGAGTCATCGAGTGCATTTTAAACTAATATCATATCATAAATCATAGTTAAATTATGTAAAATAATGATATAATTATGTATATCTAAAACGCAGTAAACAAAAGTAATAAAGAACGTATTAAATATATTATACAAAAATATATTAACGTTATTAACTAAATCTGAAGCACAATAGTTAACACATTTCTTCGATAGATGGTGGTGTTGTGAAAATGTAACGCAATTGCAAATGTGGTTTTTTCCTGTAGATGAGTTTTCATATTTACTGCTAATCTTTATTATATTACTCGCTGACCTACTGCGTGTTGAGAAACTCAATTTATTCTTTACCGCCGAGTACTCTATGTGGTAAATCAAATTTTAAAAGAGCTATTAACAATTGCATTGGTTTTGGCGAGAGTCAAACTTTATTTTTTGCTTACTGTGCAGGCACTGATTTATAAGTTCTCTTACGTTTTATATAATGTATCAATCGCGTCAATTAATCTCTTTTATTTTTAGAATTGATAATGTTAGCAGCGCCATCTCTCTTTAAATAAAAATGATGATAACATGTTGTGTCTCTTTCTGTACATTGTATATATATTTTGGTGGCTAAAATAATTATGATGAACTGAAAATAATTAAATAAGAACATTTTATAATTTTTAGAATTGTCTGTCTGTCTATTTGTCTGTTATTATATGAACGCATCACGTCTAAAGTAAACATCTTTTATTTTCAAAGAAATCGTTAAGAATATCATAAAGCGTATCTTCGAGTTACATTTAATCTTTTTTTTATTAAAATTGGTTAATTCTATCGAAAGTAATGATTATTATTTTGAAATGTAGGTTCGAATTTCTTCAATGGCGCCATAAAATCTCAGAAATAGTAATAAAAAGATTTCTGTGTAAAAAAAACGTTCCATAATAATTAATATATTTATACTTAAAACACAAAAAGAGATAGGATGTTTTCTCACACAAAGGACGTAATAGATGGAGTTGTACAAATTACAAACTTTTCTGAATTGCTGTGTTGAGATTTTTCGCCGATGAATCGTATTGAGACTTACTGAAGAAATTTGTATCCATCGAATCGAAGCCATACAACGGAACCCGACCAAAAATAAAAATTTTGCAACGAAATGTCGTGATATTGTATTTATAATATACGCAAAATCAGCACTGCCATTTTAGCGCTTTGGGAACTAGATTTAGCACTTTTTTGGAATGTATAGCGCGCATTTCGAAATTTTAGCACCTAGCGCTTAATCCAGCGCTTTTTGGTGTATTTAGCACACATTTCAATATTTTAGCGACTAGCGGGTTATTAACTCTTTTATAGCAGCACTGTTAGTCCACATTACCGATAATAATAATAATGAACTTTATTATTTTTTCCCACAAATAGTACATTGCAGTTTATCTTTTTCAGACATATTTTTTCCACAAAACAAAGAGCATGGGAGACGAGTCCAAACTAGGATACCCTGTGCTATGGATCTCCTGGCTTCCCCTTTAGGATGATCAACTTGATTTTTTTACCGACGGCTATAAGCGGGGAAATCCCCTTTATTAAAGTTTTCGTTCATGGTTTTGGCAACGCATTTATTTTGCTTTATTCAGTTTAAGTCAGTTGCTT